GATGGCGGAATACCAGAGGAAACTTGGAGCAAGAAAGAAATAAACCTTTCACACTTAAGAGTGTTTGGTTGTATTTCTTATGTACACATAAACTCTGCTGAAAGAAGTAAGCTTGATGCCAAGTCCAACAAATGCGTTTTTTTTGGTTACGGTGGTGATGAGTTCAGTTACCGGTTTTGGGACTACAAAAATCGAAAGATCATCAGAAGCAGAGACGTCATTTTCAATGAAAATGTGATGTACAAAGACAGGTCAACCGCAGAATCAAGTAATATCGAGGCTGAAACAAAGGAATTTGCTAAGCTTGAGGAGATTTTTGGAAATGATATTCAGATCAATCTTGAAGCAGTTCAAGAAGAACCACGTACACCAGAACTGAGACGCTCCTCCAGAATTTCTAAACCAATCCAACGTTATTCGCCTTCTTTGCACTACTTGTTACTGACTGACAATGGTGAACCAGAGTGTTATGATGAATTAATGCAGGTGGAGGATTCGGTCAAGTGGGAGTCTTCCATGAAAGATGAGATGAACTCGCTTATGTCAAATCAGACGTGGGAATTAGCTGAATTATCACCAGGCAAGAAAGCGTTCCATAACAAGTGGATTTACAGGATCAAAGAAGAGCACGATGGGAGAAAACGCTAGAAAGCAAGATTGATTGTCAAAGGCTTTCAGCAAAAAGAAGGTATTGACTACAATGAAATTTTCTCTCCAGTCGTAAAACTGTCTACAATCAGACTGGTGTTGAAAATTGTAGCTGCAGAGAATTTACATCTTGAGCAGTTAGATGTAAAAACAACTTTCCTTCATGGTGATTTGGAGGAAGAAATCTATATGAGGCAGTCAGAAGGCTTCATAGAGGCAGGCAAGAAAAACCTGGTATGCAGGTTGAAGAAGAGCTTGTATGGTTTAAAACAAGCTCCTAGGCAGTGGTACAAGAAGTTTGATAGTTTCATGAGTAGCAGTGGTTTTATCAGATGCCAAGCAGATCATTGTTGCTACATCAAGAGGTTTGAAACATCTTCATTATTTTATTATTGTATGTTGATGACATGCTCGTTGCAGGCTCAGATATGCAAGAGATTATAAACTTGAAGCAAAAATTGTCGAAGTAGTTTCCTATGAAGGATCTGGGCGCTGCAAAGCAGATTCTTGGGATTAGGATAAAAAGAGACACAAAGTCGGGGACTTTGATGTTATCACAGGCTGAGTACATCAACAAAGTACTCTCCAGGTTCAACATGCAAGATGCTAAACCAGTAAGTACACCTTTATGTGTTCATTTCAGACTCTCCAAAGACCAATCACCAAAGACGGAGGAAGAACGTGCACACATGGTGAAGGTCCCGTATGCCTCAGCAATTGGAAATCTGATGTATGTCATGGTTTGTACCAGACCAGATATTGCTCATGCAGTGGGAGCTGTTAGCAGGTACATGAATAATCCGGGCAAGGTACACTGAAAGCAGTCAAATGGATCCTCAGATATCTGCGGGGTACCACAAACAAAGCACTTTGTTTCAAAGGTGGAGATACGATACTGACATGTTATGTAGATGCTGACTTAGCCGGAAATGTTGACATCAGAAGGAGCACTACAGGGTATGTCTATACTCTAGGAGGTACTGCAGTAAGTTGGGTTTCTCAACTACAGAAGATAGTTGCTCTCTCCACAACTGAAGCATAATATGTCGCTGTTTCGGAAGCCAACAAGGAGATGGTTTGGCTCCAAAGTTTCTTGGAAGAGTTAGGCAAGAAACAAGAAAACAATGTCTTGTATTGCGATAGTCAAAGTGCTATCCATCTAGCGAAGAATTTGTCTTTTTATTCCAGAACGAAGCACATACAATTGAGATATTATTTTATCCGGTCTCTTCTGGAAGATGGGATTTTGAAACTTGAAAAGATTAGTGGAGCTCAAAATCCGGCAGACATGTTGACGAAGACGGTGACCACAGACAAACTGAATTTGTGTTCTGCTTCAGTTGGCATCCTAGAGTAACAAGATAGAAATGCTGCTGCAGTGATCGAGGTGTGAAGACATATTAAAACCAGTCTTCAAGTGGGAGATTGTTGGAAAATAATTAAGGTGGGTGGGCAACTTTCGGTGACTTTAAATGCACCGAAAGTTGGTTGTTGAAAATGATTTTTGGCTTAATTACATTTTAGCCACTACACACTTCAGGATATTTATAAGATTAGTCCCTAAGTTTTAACTATAAATACCCTAGCTCATTTAGCTTCAAAATGATCCAAAAACATTTCTTTTTTCTTATACTAGAGAGCTTTCTTGTGAGTAGTGAGTGTTTTGTAAACACCTGTAAATTTTCTCTCTTAGTAAAAGATCTGCAGCAGCCTGAAGACGTAAGTATAATTGGGTGAACTCCGTTATCAATTTTCGGGTATTATTTTTTTGCTTTTATTTCGCATTCTCACTAATCTGGTTATAAGAAATTATTTGTACTCGGTTTATTTCCTAACAGAAGGTTCATTAAGAGTTACATAGCCGGTCTATCCCTCATCTCTTTCATCAGTTCCATGCTGGTTATAATAATTCGGAAGTTGTGATCACAGTGCCTCGAATTTCGATCTTGCATCCTGGTCGTCTTGGCTAAAAGATTGTTTCGGTAGGTTTCCCTCATTCTTTTCTAAATGGACGTTTCCTTTGAGGATCTGATGTAATTTGACTCTGCCGTGAAAGTACAGTTTTGGTTTTCTGGTGATACAATGTAAAGTAAGGTAGAATTTATATTCGAATACGAATATTTAACATGATCTGTGTTGTATGTGGTAGTTTATGTTCGATATTCATATATTCTTGAATATTAACTTTGTTTTATTTATATGGATGATAGTTTGGGATACCTATTTGCATATTAGATATATTAATAATTATTAATAATGATACGAGAGTGTTATTTTACAAACGTTAATAATAATAATAATAAAAAAAAAAAAAACAATTCTCAGATCCTAATCTTCTTTGTAGTCCTCTCGAGATCCTCGTCACAGGCGATCCTGATATCTCCAAGGTCTCCGTCAAGTTAACCGAGACTCCTATAGGAAACTCTTGAAGTGTGTAAATTAATTCAAAATAATTAAATGATTACAAGTCCTATATTCTACTTTCTCACATAGTTTTTAATCTCATCTAAAATTTTCAATTCCAAGACCGCTAGATCTGATTCGTTAGCGTTTAGACTTAATATTGATTTTTAAAAATCAATTAAAGTAAAATTTTTATTAAAATATTTTTCTTTAAATGATATTATGAAAATCCAATTGTCATATTGTGTACACTTTTTAATTAATTTTGGTATTAATTTATTAATTGACTAGTTTAAATTGAATTTTACAAATGCTTATTAAGGAAGTAATTCTCTCGACTCAATTTACTTCAATATCGTGTACATTTTATTATATAACAAATTAATCATTATAAGTATTAAATAAAAATTAATTCAATTTTATATTTAACACTTTATTAAATAAGTATAAAGGAAGTAATTCTCTCATGTCACTTCTCCGCATGTTGCGTTCCTTGTTTGGATACAACATGTTCCATTCGTATTGAGTCTATATCGTTTTTGATTTAATACTTTTTATTTTATCAAGTTATAATTAGATCTCTATTTTTCTTGATAATTTTTACCAAGTCTCGTATAATTATACAATTAAAAATTAATTTATCTACAAATAATCAAATGTACGTGAATCCCTAATAAATATTTTTTATGATTAACTCCGAGGGACTAAAACAAAAGTTTCCAAACGTGAAAGCGAAAAATGTAATTATTCCAATAAGAAGTACTCGGTCGATGCTATAGCATGACGTGTTTGTCCTCGATCGGGATGACAAACTAACCAAACAAGAATGTCAGTGTAATGCTTGAATTTCAACGTCATTACCCCGATATTATCAAAGACGCATAAAACAACAAGGAAATAATGAAGATAACAAAGCCCAAGTTTCTTTGCTGTTTAAAATGATTCCACGGATATTCTCAGCCGTTTTAATCAAACGGCAGTGCCTTCAAATACTTCTCGGTAGAATCATAATCCTCGTCTTTCTCCTTTCAATTCCCCCCCTAAAAAAATGGTATTTTCAAGCTGGATTTGCAGTAAAAACACCAGGAACATGTTTGTGAAGATTGTTCATCCCGGAGGACACGTGGAACTCCATGACCGGCCTATCCTTGCGGCGGAGATAATCTACCGGAACCCAAGGTGTGTGGTGGCTCACCCCCATGTTTTCCAGCAACCATGGGCCATTGTTGCCCCGGAGACTGAGCTACCGCTCGGTCAAAAGTTCTATGTTGTGCCGGTAAGCACTATCCGAAAGCTTCAACGACTGTCCAACAAGTATTCCGGTACACCAATAATAAGCGAATCCCAGCAGAGCGGGGAGTTAAAAGCTGCTGACAAGGATGACTCCAGTAGTATATGTTGGTTCTTCACAAACAAGAATAATAAGACTCCATATTCCAGAATGAACCATAGTTGGGAGGATGAAGACTCGAGCACAGATAAAGGCATTTCCAAAGATACGGAGAAAGATGGGTGGTGTTTCGATGATAAAAGTTGCTTCGCATGTATGAAAACAGGTGTTAAGAGTAGTAACAATCATCATAGAGCTGATGACGTGGATGATTCTGCTGAGGAAACGAGATCGCTCGGAAACTTGGTGTCAGCTGATGACGACCATACAAGGTTCCATGTGAGGAAGAGGATACTGAGAGGGCATGCAAAAGGGTCACCAAAAAGACGGCCAACATTTGATCAATGGCAACCAAGTCTTGCGAGCATTTCTGAAACTGATGAATAGAGAAATTAAATATATAGATATGTTTTTGTTCATATTAATTTATTTGTCAAGGTCTGAATGAGCTTTGATCGTCCATAAAGCAGGTTTCTTTAGGCCAAAAACAAGATTCGTGAACCGATAAACAAGCAAAAGAAACCGGAAAATAAACCTATTTGGAGTTTAGCGAAATATCCCTTCAACCATTAAATGGAAGAATAATTTTTCTTTATTACATTGATAGTGACAAAAGGAAGACCTGCTATGAAGCTTGTCTTTAATGTTGCCACTCTGTTATTCCAGAAACAACTAATAAAGAAAAAATAATAACTTCCGATGTGTGGCACCTCTCAGACAGTGTAGTTTTGATTGATGGTCTCAATGTCGAGTCCTTTGAGTTTCACCACTGAGTCGACATGGCCTTTCAGCGTATGAAGCTCCCTCAACCTGGTAAAAGAACCAGACATAAAATGTTAGAATCATTTCATGAATGAAAAAGCATGATACACAATCAGTAGGTGATTGTATCATATTATCATCACCTTGCTACTTCAGCGCGCTTCTTGGCTTGTTCGGCGATATCCGACAACTCTCGGTAGCTGCTCTTCTCATTCAAGATTTCTTCGGTTCCGGAAGCCTGTAATCCGTGAAGGGTCCGTTGCGCCGTGGCCCATTGTGCTTCCCTCTCTCCCTTTCCATAATCCTTCTTTGTTGTGAAATCGGTCTATGTATGATGCGAGCAAATATGAAAGGGATGGTCAATATCAACAAGAGAAAAACAACTTTCATTCATTGTTTCAGTCTTCGTTAAAGGAAAATGATTTTGCGACCATGCTCTGAAGAAGATTATCCCAGGCCTTTCCGCTTAACGAATACGAGTTATGAACTTGAGAACATTAAGTGGGAAGTAGGTAACTAAACTGTAGAGCCAAATGACACCAGCCCAACCCCATCCAATGCCTTTAATTCTAGCGAATTCCCAGTTTGCATAAACAGCAAGCACAGTAGCCACCTTAGAAAGTTGAACACCAGACAAAAAAAACAATATCAGTCAGCTGTGAGATCTACCCTAGCGAATGTTTCCAGTCTCCTTTATTATGAGTTATGTTTTGTGGGTATTTTTTGACGTACAGAATAGGATTGCAAAGAAACTCTACAATTATTCTTCCAATCAAAACAAAGATCCCCACTTCTACTCATTGATGCTACTTCAAACCCATTCAGAAAACCACAACTTCTACGAACATTTGTCATTCTAAAACTTGTAACTTAGTTTCTATAAAGAAAACTATAGAGGGGTTCGTGTCTTTCACAGTGTGTTTCAGATGCCTAATCATATGAGGCTGTCCCAACCCTCAAATGTTTCAGATTAGAAGTTTCATTTCTCTATACTGGCCAGCTGAGCATGGTCTACTGTTATAAAACTATTTTGAGACAGAAACATTTGCGAAGTCTTCTCCAAACCAACGTGTTTCTCTTGAGAATTTGAATCCACATTTAAAATTCTGTGCCTTCTTTAATTCCAAATCTGAGATTAGATTATCATCCTCTAAATTGCCCATAACTACGTCCGTATCTTGTGGCCCATCGCTAATCAAAATCGGTCCAGTTAGAACCTGGGACGCAACACCCCTTGTCCCAAAATAGTCTTCTTGCCCATAATATGTGAAACACATTAAATAGTCCTAGGATTCTTTCTTTTTTTGGTAGTTAGTCTTAGGATTCTTTGATAGAGTGGAATTGGGAGCAAAGTTCTTCACCAAAATAAGAGTGAAATTTATCTTAATTGGTCAGATTCCGTATTTTAAGTTAGGGAAATCTCGAACAACAGAGTTTCCATGATTAGAATCCTCACGCAACTAAACACTACCCGACAGTGTTGCCCTTCTCGGTGGCACTCTAATAGAAAGATCCCAAGCCAAAGGAAGTTCTTTTCCACCATGTCGAGCCCTGACATGACAAAAGCTCTCCCCGTGACCCAACTTACCACATATGAAACAAAATAAGATCGACTTTTCATTATTCTCTTATAACCAGCGTAGTTACATTGAAATTATACTCCAAAAAATAACCAAGAAAATTATCAGCCTATTTGTTGTGTTGTTCGTCATGAAACTCAAAGGAATATAGTTGACTAGCACCAAATAACTGACATGGGTTAGAGGAATCGTCTTTGGGTCTTCCCCATCTTTTAACATGTGAAATTAACAATCGGAGAATTAAAATTTCATGAACCACCAATTTCAATTCTATCTGCACTTCTCACCAGAAAAAGGCGAAATAAGAACCTACTATCGCCCGGATTTGATATTGTAATATCCTGACCGGATGCCAAATATTCGCTAGGGTAGATCTCATAGACTGAAAGTTTAGTATGCTATACGTCAAGAAATACCCACAAAACATAACTCGTATGAAGTTTTCATGCTTTTCGATTCATCCTCCGCTAGGGTAGATCTCATATGAATTTTTCTTCTTTATCAAGGCATGGTCATATAAAAAAATCAGTTTCCAGTCTCCTTTTTTAGGTTGACTATTCTTGTAGGCTGTACGGCGATGCCAGGATTTCTGTTGTCATCTATGCTTTTTTGTTAATTGCCATTTTTGGGTCTTGATTGTACTCATTTTGATCAATTTCCAATATATGTGATTTGATTATATTTCCACGAGTGGTGAAAATACTTTTTAGTTTTTATTGAAAAAATTTCTGTTGATAGGAGTTTCTTCTTCATATAGTTATAATCCTCATTAAGAGTGTCATAACAGCTTGGATATAGGTTGGCTGATGCATTGTACCTTATAACTAGCAATATAATGATTCCTTAAATCCCGGATATAGGTTGGCTGATGCATTGTACCTTACAACTAGCAATATAATGATTCCTTAAATCCCAAGTTCTCTCTACATTTTTTATGTTCTTATACATGTTTGTAGTTAAATTATCTGATGAAAATGGCGTTTGAACCTTATATTTATAGGAGGAATGAAGAAGAGGATTAAAAGCACTGAGGGCTGATACTGTAAGTAAATTAAGGAAGGCCTTACCAGAGCTAGAAAGAGGTAGAGAATTCTGATGCCTGCGGTTAATTTACTTGTGTAAGATAATTATTTATGGGTCTTGTTTTTCTGTTTGTAGTTAAAATACCTTGCTTGGCCGTTGATCCTGGACAACTTTGTAGAATGGATGCAGGTGAAGCAGAGCTAAAATCTATTAGCTTTGGTCAACTTGATTCTCAGCTATAAATTCCATTCGGTATAAATACAGGTTCTTTTTAAAGTTTAAGCCTCCACTCTTTGATCCCTTTTTCTAGAGCCTTACATGATTTTTTTTTCTTTGTTTCTGGGAGAAGGCGAGTTGACTTGAATGTTTGACTAGGCTTGCATTATGTAATAACAATTTATTGTGAATAATCTGTTGTCAGGAATGTTCAAGTTGCAGCTAATCTTCAAAACATGAAGGTCTTCATCAAAACATACCTTCCAAAGTTATTTTCTTGGTGTTACATATATGCAGAAGATAATCTCAATGTATCGAATTGAATTTGTGTCTTGATATTTAAAAATATTGGATTATGATGTTATATTATGAACAAAACTGATTCATCAGATACAGCATAAATGAAATTGGTAATATTTCTTTCATACTGCTCTGTCAAGATCAACTTCATCGTCTATGTGCCTACATCGGACTATCAGCAACCAGCATTTTAAGTTCAAAAATAACTTCCAAAGGGCACCTGCGAACAATCTGTTGGACATCAAGTCCGGTAAGCATAGTGCGAATTTCATAAAATTTAACTTTCTAGTGTCAATTCAATACTCCCTGCTATTCTTTATATATATTGCATGAAACAGCTTCGCCTTGCATGGTTATGCCTTGATAAGATTTATGCTTGATGCTTACATAGTGTGAATTTCATAAAATTTACCTTAGTACTCGCGTCTGTAAAATACAAGTGTGTTGTCAATTAATTGGAAAAATTAAATAAATATTAATTTGTAATCACTTACAATTATTAAAAAATAAATAATATTCGGGTTGACGTAAGGTGAAAAGCACATTTAAGGAAAGAAGTCGAATCTCCAATCTTATTCAATGAGTTAAAGGGGAAGCATATGGCCGTAAATTACTACAGGGATATTATATTATTCCTTTAAATAAACCTAAAAAACCATCAATCACTAAATCAAACATTCGAAATTTCGAATGCATGTTTATACCACCGCCCCCCCCCCCAAAAAAAAAACATTCGAATGCATGTGTTTTTTATTACAGGTAACAATGAGCTGATTGATTGATGATGGTATTCGGGATGAACTCTTTAGCTATTAACTCAGGTAGCTTCAAATACCAAAAGAACCCATTATAAAGAATTGATAACTTACAAATGTACAGATTTCATGCCTCCAAAAATTCCCAATGTTAGAATCATAAATCCACCAACAAAAATAATGCAAACGAAAACGAAAGGAAACCAACGATTTGCTTCGCTTTGCTACCCCCCCTGTTTTGAGGATTTGGTTCAATGGAAATATTGCTGACCATCATCAATCAAGATTACCTGCTTTCAAAAGAAAAATAAAAATAATCAAGATGATTGAGGAGCAAGAATCAATGGTGAAGAAGGGGGAACTGAGGGTCTGCTTTGGCTTCTACCCCGATTCTGAGATTCAGTAGTGGTCGAAGGCGATGAGCTCGAAGAAGAGGTTGAAGATGACGTGAATCTGTTGGAATCATTCGTCAATTTCTTCGTTTCTCCTTCACAGGATTTGTCTTCGATTCTGTGATGCCTCACCTTGGTTGAACTTAAAGTCACTGGAAGAACACAGTTGCAGAAGAACCCAACGAAATCAACAATACATCATTGTCGTAACTAGGGGTGTGCCCGGAACTTCCGGGTCGATGATTTCTCGGCCCGGCCCGACCCGGATGTTACGGGTATTCGGTAATCGGGTACCCGAATTTTTTGGGTACCCGGTAATCGGGTACCCGATACCCGGTTTTTAATTTTTAAATTATTAATTTAAAAAAATATATACACAAATTTAAATGTTCGAAACTTCGAATTACATACTCTAATATCCGAACATAAAATTTAAAAGTTCAAAATACAAAATATAATAATATATAATATAAATAATTCATTATATTTTATATAATTATATATAAAAAAAATAAAAACTAACCGGGTACTCGGGTAACCGGGTACCCGGAAAAACTAGATTTTGTGACCCGGGCCCGACCCGGGAAATGTCGGGCCGGGTACCCGACCCGGCTGGGTATTTTTTTTTAGAGAATTACCCGATTTTTTTAGATCCGGGTCGGCGGGTCGGGTAATTTTGCACACCCCTAGTCGTGACCTTTTTTTTCGGTTGAAACGATCGTTTAATTGTTTTGAAAACAGTTTCGACTTTTATTTTTGGAAAATGAAGAGATTGGAATTGATTTGGAATAATTTGGAATAGTCGCCATCAACCTTTGGGTTAGGTAGGTCGAATACCTAAAAACGTCTTTTAAAAATAATTTTTAGAAAAATCATTTTTAAGACAAAAATTGGTCTGCGTTTACCAAAGATTCGATTAAAACGGGTTCGGGAGTCGGTTACGCGTGAGGAAGGATTAGCACCCCACAGCGCCCAAAATTAGTACTGTGTCGCTTATACGTTGTCGTAAATGGTGAAAATCCTGAATCAAATATCAAGTTAAAATATGATCCGTTTATTGGAATTTAATTAATTTACTTCAATTAATAACTTAAAAAATAAAATAAGTAGTTAAACTTATAAGAACTAAAATGCAACAAATCAAAAACTTGAAGTCTAAATTGCAATTAAACCAAATTAAACCAATGACTAAAACATTAATAATGTCGAGTTATGCACATGAAGATAACATACAAAAATTAATTAAATAAAACAAATGATTATTTAACTCATGAAAATTACCATGACATTCTAATACAAAAATTATATGCATTATTTAGATATAAACTATATCTTATATATGATTAATATAAATAAGTTTTAAACTTTTGAACCATAACTAATACTCAATATTAAAATATAAAGATTTAATTCGATCTAAGATACACAAATATATGTAAGGTACTATATGAATTTATATTAATTAATCATATATACATACTATCATACATACATGTACGCATATTATGAACAAGTAATGGACCACTATACTTATTAAATAAGTGATATAAAGAATATAAAAGTAAATACAAATATGCATCTAATATAATAAAAATATATTAAAATTGATCATGCATGGGCTAATTAAATATAATATATATACTCCAATAATTTAATATATATATATATATCCAACTAAGCTATACGTTAAACAAATAAAATATGGCTATTCTTCCTAAGACACGTTAAACAAATATATATATATATATGAACAAAAAATCAGTTTCCAAGACACGTTAAACAAATATATATATATATATGAACAAAGAATCAATTTCCAAGGTAAGTGTACAAGTGAGCTAAAAATTAATTATTCCAAATATTTTAATATAAAATCTAACTTAGCCTAAACCTAATACTTAAACTAAACTACCCACCTGTTTTCAACTTCAAAGAAATCTCAACTCTCTCTTCTACTTCCCATACCCGAGAAGCTCAAGGTTAACACTCACAAAGCCGACAGCTTCTCCAAAGGATGTTCTGTAACATCCGCAATATGGGTTAGTGACCAAATTGTAAAATTTCAGAATTTGATGACTAAAGTAGAAGAATGAAATGGTTCAATGATTATTGGATATATATGATGAAGGTTATTTAGTAATTATTAAAGGAAATAAAGGGAAAAAAAGGTCAATTGACCAAGAAATGAATTAAAAATGGGATTGGTAAGGATATATACACGTGGAAAGGGAGAGAATTCTCCATAGTTCTCTTCTCATTTCTTCTTATTCTTTACGTGAAAGCCAAGAGCAAATGTAAGTTTGATTTAGCTTTTGATTTCTCGAAAGTTTTAAGTTGGATTTGAGTCTTTGGGGGTTATATAAGCTTAAGGAAAGCTTATATAAGTTTAAAACACCAAAGAGAGAGAATTAGAAAGGAATTTCTATTAAGGGTTTATAAATAAACTTTTGTTATAGAAAGGTTTTTGAAGTTCTAAAGTTAGATTTGACTTGTCAATGGTCTAATTAAGAAGTTAGAAGCAATTGAATGGAATTTGGAACATGTTAGAAATTGAGTATGATTCTTGAATTTCCATAAGAAAGATGGAATTTAGAGGTTAAAGATGAGATAAATGAATTTTAACGAGTTTAAGTATGTATATGTAAGTTAGGAATATGAAAGGGGTTGAAATATGAAGGATTTAATCTAAAAAGAATGAATTTTCGGGTTTAAAAAGAGGTTCTGGGCAGAGCGCATCGATGCACATTCATAGTGCATCGATGCATCAAGGTTAAAACCCAGAAATCGTTTGAAGGTGTATCGATGCACAGGAAGTGCATCGATGCACTCTTTTAAAATAAATACATCGAATGCAATTCGTGCATCGATGCATAAGTAGTGCATCGATGCATCCCAGTAATAAACAAACATCGAATGTATTTTATGCACCGATGCACAGGTAGTGCATCGATGCACCGATAGGGAATGCATCGATACACTGTGCAGTGCATCGATACATACCTTCATTAAAAGATGAAAGGGGGCTTTTCTTTTAGCCTAAGAAGTGGCAATTTATAAGATATCAATTAGTATACTGGTATGTATCAATGTATTATTATGATGTAGATATAGAATGAAGCTTGTTCCGGAACAATCTAATGATTAAGATTGATTCAAAGCAAACAAGGCTAAGGTGAGTGCACATTCTCTAGTATATGAGGTTCAAGGGAAAATAAGACTTGTGATAAGTCTATTTCCAATAGTGAAAAACATGAATTCATAGAAGTATGTATTTGTTATGATTTATATGTGTGCATGAGTATATGTGTTATTGATATGAATATGGTAAGTAAAAGGGATTAATGGTGATGATAAGAATAATAATAAGGATAATGAAATGATAGGTATATGTGAATATAGGTATTGATGTGTTTTTGTATGTATTGTAAGATGATATGTTTATGTGATAACATGATAAGATGACAATGATTTACATGTCATATGAACACATGAGAAATGTTATGAGCCATATGAAATAGAAAGTATATGTGATACATGAGGGTGAATCCTATGTTTATATGAATATGAACTCATATGAGAATTGACATGAACTACGTAATTACATGTATATGTGAATGAAACCATGAGCTTATATGAATATATGATATGGTTACATGAATATGTAAAAGGATATAAAAGATAATGCCCATGTTATGTGTCATGAGAGCTAGGGGTATAGTTGGCATGCCAAGAGTCGAGGGTCTATGTGGTCCTTCGGGACATATATGTATTCTTTGGAACATGTGTGATGTCTGGTGAGACACATACTTGATCCTTGGCATATGTATATGATTCTTAAGGAATGATATGTGGTCCTTCGGGACATATATGTATTCTTTGGAACATGTGTGAAGTCTGGTGAGACACATACTTGATCCCTAATATATGTATATGATTCTTAAGGAATGATATGTGGTCCTTATGGACAGTATTATATGGCACTACGGTGCAATTCTACGCGGTACTCCAGTGCAATTATATGTGGCACTTCGGTGCAATTATATGAGCTGTGGTGACAGCATTAGTGCACAACCTCTATGTACTCGCATATCTTTAGTTCTCACATGAATATCATGGGCTATTAAATAGATAATATTAATAAAGTGATATGATAATATGTTTGTTTCCTTGTGGAATTTCATGTGTGATATTGATTGTACAAGTGGTAACTTATAAGACCATATGATGAAAGGAATCAATGATAGTGATAAAATAAGAAAGAAATGAAGATGATAATATAGTTGCTTGGGTGTACGTGTTTTATGATAGTATATATATATGGTTTACATGACATGATATGTATATGTGCAATTGGTTATGATATATGTTATATGATATGAACATAAGAGATCATAGGAACATGAGATAAGAGATATGAATGATAATGACATATATGTATGCATATATTTGTTACATGTAAAAGTATGAGTGGTATGAAATGATAGTAGTAATTGTTTAGGTATGATTATTAGTTACCGTTTACCTTATATGTTTATATGCCTCACTAAGTCTTTGACTTAGCGTGTAAGTGATTTACACGTAGGTTTCGAGAACAGTAAAGAGCAATGTGGAGCAAGACAGGTCAGTTCTCCTTACTAAAGATCAGATCAGAAAAGATGTGAATAATATGCATTTTAGTATATAAAGTTCTAGTTGGCTTGTTTTCAAAAGAATATATTGTTTAAGCTATGAATAGTTTTATAAATGTTTCGAATAGTTATATGTAAATAAATAAGTGAAATATATACGCTCTGATTGGTTTTGTAATAATAAAAATGTCTTTTATGTAAATTAGTCATTTATATGTTATACAAGTTTTAAATTACTCACTATTTTATACAAGTATGTTTTAAAAGGTCAATGTGACACCTCGGACTTGTATTCGGGTCGGATATGAGTTAGGGGTGTTACATTTAATGGTATCAAGCTACGGTTTAGCCGATTCTAGGTTTAAATCGAAGTCAGAAGTGTTTTAAAAAGTATACATGCCAACTCAAAGTGAAAAATTTGATCTGATAGTGTAAGGAGTATGATGTCTTGCTAATAAAAATAGATTATTATGTGATAATAGAAGTATGATAATAAGAGCTTCGAAAGAAGTGAAAGGTAATAAACCTGAAGGTAATAGCATTCACCTGCCCTG